CAGTAATTTTAACTTCAGCTGTCATCTGTTTTAGCTTTTTGGACACCAGACTTTTTCATAATAAAATAGATAAATTGAAATCTTGAAAAGTCATCTTTAAATAAAACAAAGTATCTATAACCAGACAGATGGTTCAAATGGTCCACATATATCCATTTGTATCAGTTCACCCAGTTTTGTACCACGTGGATGTGTTCCAAACTTTAATCTATGAGATTTGTCATAAACACATCCTTTACATATTTCATTATCCAAGTCAACTTTAACACCAAGTTCTCGCTCTACAATTGCTTTCATGTGTCTCTTGTCTTGATGACCCAGCTGCTTGTGATAGATCTGTAATAAATTTGACTTAGTAACTGCATTTAACTCATATGGCTTGCTGCACATTACACTTCTAAATTAGGCTTAAAAAGACCTCCATATTGGCTATGTCTACCAGTTATTATTACACATCCATCAACTTTTAATTTACATTCTTTAGTCTTTGATATAAATAAGCTAGAGTTAAGACAATCCTGAGCAGCTAGCATTGAAAATAGATTTCTCTTAAGATCCGGTACAAACCAAGCATTACATAATGTAATTTTATTTCATATATCATTCACATATGCTTCTACTTCAATTGTTCTTTTATCTATTGCATATATTTTGTCTCCACTTGCTGTGGTAACTGAATATAGATATTTAAAGTGCTCAAAATTACAAAACAAATTTTGTTGATAAGTAACATGACTTGTAGCTCCATTGTCCACATACCAACAGTCTTTATCATTTTCACTAAGTACCGTATTTGACATAATTGTCAAGAGAGTCATATTACAATTATTACTTTTATGAGATCCTGCAGAGAATACACTATTTTCTTGTTTAGTTTTACTGTCTGCTTTCCTTTTAAAACAATACTTCATTTTATGACCAGATCTGTGACAATAATGACAAACTATATCTGAACTAGATTTTCCCATTGGTTCAGATTTGAACAGCTTTTTACTTGTATTAGTAACTAACACATCTTGATTTTTGTTTTCATTATCCTTACAAGCTAAAGCTCTTTCATACGAGCACAATTGAACAGTTAAATTATCTATGGTACAATCCTTTTTTAAAATAAGAAGCCAGCTTGACTTAAATGATAAATAATCTTTATATAAAGTATCTAACACTTTACAAGTTAACAATAATTCTGGTAACTTTTCCATTCCTTCATTCTTTGTCAATTCTACATTCAAATCATTCCAAATGTTTTTTAGTTTTGATAAATGGCTGGCCATATTATCTCCAACTTGACGTTTATAACAAAAAAATCTCATACAAAGATTGTAAGCCTTATCCTCACGGACACCTTTTGTAATTCTAACCAAATGTCTCATGCTATTGTAAAATGCATGACTTTCTTTAAAGTTTCTTCAGACAGATTGGAAGTTAAAACTAACAAGACACTACTATCACAATTAGTAAAATGTAATACTTCTTTTTCATACCTTGTTCTGTCTTCTTTTGAAGCATCAGAATCTAATTCATCCAATTTTGAAATTTTTCCTTTAACAACAAGATCCAAAGCACCAGGAATACTCCTTAACACGATGCAAATTTTACATTTCCAAGTCGACTAGTTAGACTTGCCTTCTAAATATCCAATGTGAAGTCTAGAAAGTTCCATTGCAAAGTTAAAGCAATTTGGGCCCATAACTTGTTGTAACTGAACTTCTAACTCACACTGTGATAATCAATAATACTTTTAATTTACAAAAGGAACATATATTAACACTAGAACTTCAAACAATTCGTCCCTGTCTGAAGAAAAAACAAAACTAAAGGCGGGGGGGAAAGGTAAAAGAGGAAGCTTAAGAGCAAAAAAAAAACCAACCATTGTTGCCACCAAACAACAGATCATGAAAACAACAGATCAACAAATGCCTAAATAATTGGGTTATAATATGACTATAAATTATTTATTTGTATTTATTATTTAATTACAGCCATATTATAGCCTGATTATTTAGGCATTTGTTGGCTTATTAATATATCATTGAGCTTTGTGATGTATTATATTGATCATGAAAATGTTTAGAAAAATATTTTTCCTATTTTTCAACAATGAATATGTAAAGGATGTGTGAAGACATCAAATGCCTAAATAATTGGGTTATAATATGACTATAAATTATTTATTTGTATTTATTATTTAATTATAGCCATATTATAGCCTGATTATTTAGGCATTTGTTGGCTTATTAATATATCATTGAGCTTTGTGATGTATTATATTGATCATGAAAATGTTTAGAAAAATATTTTTCCTATTTTTCAACAATGAATATGTAAAGGATGTGTGAAGACATCAAATTTTTATTTGTATTTACTTTTCAACGTTTATAAAATATATTTCATGGGGTTTTAGAAATTTTACAAAGCATGTCCAATATATTTTAAAATTTAACAGAGGGAACAACCAGGCTTCTGGAACTGTGTATTCTCAAACACTAGGATTTATGAGGTGTAAGGGTAGGATATACTAGGATGTAATATTTGTACCATAAACATTTATGGGTTGTGGGCACTTTGCTAAATTTTCATTTTTGGTTGTCATAAAATGATTTCTAGGCAGCCAATAAGGATTTACGATTCTTGAGATTTATGAAAGTTCCATTTAGAGAGGCTTTATATATCTTCAGTATTTCTAAACTTCTCAGGTGGTTCTCATTGACAACTTGTTTTATTAACTCAGTTTCATCTAGATTTGCAAATACACCATCTCTGCAGCATAAATGGCCAGTGCTTGATTTAAGATCAATGCTATAAATTCTCACTGTTGTCCTTCCTTAATCTCGAGAACAGAGTTAGTTAGGTGAAACATGAGACCAAATATGGAAACGTTGGGGGCAGGAGGCTCTGATTAACTATATATGAATGTCTGACACAAACCAGAAGTTACATTATTTCAATTCAAAAATTCTCCCTTGAAAAGTGTTATATAGATGACTGCACAACTCTATTGTTAAAGGAAAAGTATGATGTACAGGGGCAAGCCACTACTAATTTAAGGTGGAGAGCATATATTTTAAATTAAAACAAGTAAAACAGCAAAACCGTATTTGGGACAAGACTATGTCTCGGAGACTCACTACTAAGCGGAATCACTTTGACGCTCAAGGAGGATCTCTTTCTCATTCTCCAATCTTTTTTGGTATCACTGCTTTTGGGTGCGATCGTTCATACTTTGCTGGCCACGACCACAAGGTCATCCACGATGCATTTTCGATGACATTAACCTATCCAATTTTGAAATTTCTCTCCGTTGCGTGTCAGCCCAGGTTGAACTTTTGTCGATGCATAACAAAAATGTCCTGTTTTTGAAAAAAAATAATCGTGGCTATTGTATTGTCTGAAATTATTTTTTTTAATTTTGTGCAAACAATATACAGTTTAACCTGATTATAACGTCATCAGATGTAACAGATATAATGTCAAATTTTTATCGGTCCCACGATTTTACTATACTAGATAATGTTAAAAAAAGCCTACTTGTAACAACATAAAACCCTGTTTTAATGTCATATTTAAAACACTTCAAAATTTACAAAATTAGATTACAAATTTTAATTTTTAACAAAGAAAATACTACGTGTTCAGTCCTAGGGTCGAAGTCCACTTCCTAGAACTACTGTGGGTGGTACTCTCACCACCTGACTTTGGTTTGTCTGTGTGTAGAGAGAGTCACCATTTTGTATTTTATTTTGATTCGGTTCTTGGTCCCCTGAGTACCTACAAGTCTGATTTTTTTTATGCACGCATGATTTGGGCATCTAATACTCTGTGCCAAATTGCAACTCCTGACATGTACTTCTTCATACCTCTAAGCTGGTAACACAGCAGGCAGTACAATTTTATAAACAAGACAGTCTTGTCAAAAATATTTGCAGCTTGGGGTTGTGACAATGCTACGATAAGTACAGTAGAACCTTGATTATCCGGACCTCGATTATCCGGATTGTTCAAAATAAACAAAAATTTTATGATTTGCTGATTTGCACTTGGCGAATTATGATACTGTTTATGTATGTGATGGAATGCATAACTTTTTTTGTTTCAACGTCTCACCCAGCACAGTGGTCATAAACTCTTAAATATATTTTGCGTCATAATAAAAATATAACTTGACATATGTATTTATAAATAAGTTATATTCAAATTACATCATTTCTATGACCAAGGGCAGCGTATGGGCAACATGGGTTCACCTATACCTTGAGGTCCGAAGGGCCTTGCACCTAGAAGGTTTATGCATTACTTAAAAGCCGCGAACGCGACGAAAAAGTTTTACTCCTCATAAAACGATAAATAGTTTGTCAAATTTTTATTCATAAAAATGCAGTTTCAACTGCTTTTTATTTTACAAAATCCGTCTTCTTGTGCCATAAGAGGGCCTTTTAAACAATAGGTAGTCTGTTAGCGCTGGTCAGTAGTAGTCCAAATTCAATACGAACGTTTGTTTCTTGAAAATTTGATCACGATTTAAATACAGTATTTATATTTAATATTACCGATATGTCATCGAAAATAAAATGTGTTGTATTATCATTAAAAGACAAATTAAAGTATTTGTTTCGATTATCCGAATTGTTCCTTATCCGGACTACCTTCATCCCCAATTAGTCCGGATAATGGAGGTTCTACTGTAATTGCTCATTTGTAACTTGTTACTGCACAGTTAACTTGCCTCAATATTCTTTTTATCTTCCAAAATCCTTCTTGAACAAAAATCTCTTAATTCCAATTAACTCACCATTTTTTGTTTAGAAATTAATTATGATTAATATTAAAATTTAAATTTGTTACAAAAAAGGATTACAGAAATGTTTAAGTGGAAATTAAATATCCAGCTTAAAATAAGTGGAATAAACATTATATTCTTTCTATAATATAAGTTTTGAAATATATTTATTTTAAAATTATTTTTAAACAAATATTTAATGTAATAATTTATTGAAATTTAGATAACCAAAAATCTCCGAGGACACCTAAACCTATGAATTATAGATCATCACAGTCACCTACTGCTGTTTTGATTACTGGTACACTCAGTAGTCCACAAGCTATCTGGCCTTCACAAGATGTTTATGAAGGTGTAACATGGGATTATAGCTCTCCTATGCGACAGGAACTACGATCAGGTTTGATACAACTTATTGATCTTTTTTGAATGCTACAAATAGATTAAAAATATACCAAAAATGATTGATTACTGAATTAAAAAGATGCTTGCTTATTAATCAAATAACAATTAATAAGACAATCTTATTCTTCCGGAACAAACATTTAATAGAACAACAAATGTTTTTGGGCAGATTCACTGTTCCAACTTCAGGCCCAGGTTCCTTAATGTACACGGTTAAGTTCTATTTTGGAACAATAATTCCATGAGGCATGAAATATATTTAAATTTACAAAGTTAATTATTTTACAAGTATTATCTCATTTGATATATATTAACAATGAAACAAATACTTTTCTATAAAAGTGTGTGGAGATCAATAATACATTAAAGCCAAATTATTGCCAGAATAGATTGGGCTATATTACTGCTACTGTTAATAATTAAATGCTAAATAATCTAGCCTAGAGGTAGGTGTTAGGTGCCATCTCTTATTAAATTTAATAATTATAATTAAATTAATATTTATTAATTAATTTAGAAGGTTTTGGAAGAAAAGAATTGGCCCAGAGTGGGACTTAAACCTGCAACAGCTCAAATCAGCTTGTGGATTTGAGTCCCACTAACATGGAGAATGACAAAAATCAATTTCCGAGAGAAATTATTCTTATATTCTTGAATAAAAATTGAATAAAAGTTCTATACTAAACCAAATTATTTCTGTAATTAATAGGGCTATTATTTTGCTATTAATAATGACTAGATATTAAGTAATTTGATAATAGAGATAGGTGTTAGGTACCATCTCTTATCTAAATTAATAATTATAATTTTTAATAATTTATTAAATAATTTAGAACAGTCTGGAAAGAAAGGATCTAGCTCAGAGCATGATTTGAACCTGCAACCTCCATTTACTGTGCAATGCACTTGCCAGTTATGTATTAAAATTATAATTATTAATTTAGATAAGAGATGGCACCTAACATCTATCTCTATTACCAAATTTCTTAATATCTAGTTATTATTAATAGCAAAATAATAGCGCATTTAATTACAGCGATAGTTTGGTTTAGTATAGAACTTTACAATAAACATCCCGAAGCCGAAATGTTTATTGTAAAGTTCTATGCTAATCTAACTTGATTGATAGTTAAAAATTAAGCACTGATTAGCAAATACATTGTAAAGAATAAAGCAATTAAAACACATTCCAAAGGGACTGAAATGTGTTTTATGCTCTGTGCATCAAATATGTATTTAACTGTTTTCAATATGTCTTCGAAATGTAAATAATTTAATTGGAGGAGCAGCAGTTTTGAATATGAATTATAAAATTTCTTCAACTTTTTCTGCATTAATAAAAAAACAACTATTTATAAAATAAAAACTTCTCAAAGTGTAAAATTCTGCCTGGTACTATCACATTCCATTTTAGACAGCTGTTACTGTGTTATTTTTGTGATAACCACTTAAGCAAAACAGGAAAAATAACTGGATGAATGCATTAAATTAATGGAAAAAAAATCATCAAAAACTCAGCAAGGAAAAAATATTTAATGAATAAACAAATATTTTTCACCATTTTTAAGTCGTCATCAGGTTAGATGAATTCCAAAATAGAACATAAATTGGAACAAGCATTTTAAAGTTGATGGAATGTACAGTACATATAATTAGATATTGCTGTGTGTAAAGGTGGCCACTTACATAATGTGAAAAAATGAAAAAAAATATAACAATTAAAAATTAATTAATTAATTAATTAATATTTTATCAAAAGACTTCAAATAGTGATTTCCACACTTGGGAGATGAAATCTGCATCCTTATAGTTGACAGCAGTGGTCTTACTAGCTGCGTTATATATTTCCAGCTGCTCTAAATGTTTGAGGTGAGCTCTGTTGCTAGTATGATGTAGAAGTTGAGCCTGGTCCAGAGACACCTGGAAATCCTTCTCAGAAACAAAGGCTGCAAGGGTGGTAATACAAAGCTCCTTTTTTATGATGGAAAACATTTGTTTATTCATTAAATATTTTTTCCTTACTGGAATTCTGGTGATTTGTTTTTTTTTTATTTTAGTTAATATATTACCTTTGTTTATATAAAATGCATTTTAACTATTCTTAATCTTTTTGATGTAAATGAAAAAAAAGAGGAATAAATTACAAATGTATAAAATAGGCCTACATATAAAAAATGTATTGTAAATTTTAATAATTGGAGTTTTAATGTTTAATATTGTGCTAAAAACATGGATTGATAGGTAAATGGATATTTTGCAGTGTTTTAATGTCAATTACTGAAATTGCTTGGAGATGTTCAAACAACTGAGAATGAATTAGAACTTTACTCATAGCAAACATTGGAAGACTCTTAGTAATGATGTAGAATATTTTAAAAAACTAAAGTGTTTATTTGTATATTATCTGTGTTAAAAAGACAGTTCATAGGTGTATAGGTTATAAACTGATTTCAAATTGCAATCATGATTTTATGTGTGTAAGCAATGACTGTTTTCATAGGTCTGAGTTTTACAATGGATGAGTTATGCAAAAGTTTTATTTTTGTTCTAGCAACTTTATATTCCATTGCAAGTTACACAATATGTAGTTTTTTTTTAATATTTGTATTCTTTTAACCCACCTGTCACAAAAGAGATCATTTGAATTTCTGTAGACTGCATCAGTTATGGAGTCAAGATAACTTATATTCTCTTTACAAATGAAGTCAAAATTCTGTTTATAGACTAATTTTCATCAGCACTTCATCTGGAAGGAAAAATGAACTCATTATCTTCATTCAAACATCATAGAAGTTTTTGGAGATGGTGGTTTTTGGTAATTGGGGCGTAATAGTAAATAGTTGCATGCTCCTCTGTGTCTGAGAAGAAATTTGAATGCTGCATGTTACAGGGACAAGATCCTGCTGCCCTATGTCAAGTTTTTTTCAGGGTGCAGTTGGCCTTTACTTTTTTTTTATGACAATAATGCTTGACTTTGCAGAGCTACAGGTTATTGATGAGTACCTAGAAAATGAAGATATTCATAGGATAGGTTGGCTAACCTATCCTATGAATATCTTGAACCCAATTGACAATACTAGGAACCTAGGAAGACAAGTTGCAACTCATCAACCCCACCCAGAACCTTGATTTAAGATTGTGCTCATTAAGAAATCAGATTCCTTGGACTGAAAGGTTATAAATTGCTTGGTAATGAGGTTTTTTGTCATTGTTAGTCTTGTACATCTATCTGTAAGAGGTCATCCTATTCCATATTAAATGTACTTTTATCTATACTAATATTATAAAGAGATAATGTTTGTATGTATGTATGTATGTAAGTTTGTTTGCAGCAGGTAATCTCCGAAACTACTCATCTGATTTCAAAAATTCTTTCACCGATATTTAGAATGGAACCTCAGGGTGGACATAGGCTGTATATTATTCCATTAAACATTCATATAAATTAAAATATATAATCTAGGTTAAGACTTTTATGTCCAACAGATGGTGCTACGAGTACGACACCCTAAGTTTGCTTTTCTGTGAGGCATTATGCTTTTCTGTGAAAATGAAGTAAAGCAGATAATCTTCTATCTATCTATATAAATAAAAATGTAATGTTCATTTGTTCCTACCGATTCCTTTGAAATTTTGACACAACACTGCATTTGAATACGCACGTGTTTTTATATAATATACGTATATTATGCGTATATATTATAGATGCGGTTTTTTGCGTTTTAATAGGGTACGTCAACAGAATGTATACTAAGAAGAAATTTTTTGAAAAATCCCCCCCCACAGGGAAGTGTTATAAATTTATAATAGATAGGTTTTGAGCCACAACAACGCATGGCGGGGTCTGCTAGTATTAAAATATTTAACATCAAATTTGAGATTTATGATTATTCATTTTTACACGACTAACAGAAAGTAGAAAACTTTGGTAGTTTAATGTTATATTCAAAAATGTGTTTTGGACTTTTGATTTTGGACTTTAGTCTAGTTTATTTAATTAATATAACATTGTGTGTTTACTAAAATTTATTTTTGAGTTTTTTCAGTAAAATATTCTAAAAATTTAAATTTAGAAAAAAAAGTCTGAATAATTAATGTATTTACAGCTAAGATACATGGAAAGACAAATGTGACCGAGCTTCTTCAATATGTAAATGATCAGAAGGTATGACTTCATTATTTCATGTTAATACTTATTTAATTATTAATAAGATATTTGGCTTTTTTAATATATTGATTCAACAGTTTATAAATTCCATTATTTCAAGTTGAAATTTTTACCAATAAAGTATTTAATTTTTGTTTTGTTTATACCAAATATTAAGAGTATGTTAGAAAACATTTCATTTTTAACAGCTGTAATTTATATTTTTGTAATAATTAAGTTATTACTTTGTAGAATAAGAATTGAAAGAGTAAAAGTGATTTTGTTTTATGTGATTTTTCAAGACCACATAAAATAAAATCACCGTTACTGTGTACTGTACACAGTAAGTATGCCATATAATTGAGAGGCCTGATTATTGAGGATTGGATTAACGAGTGTCTACTGTATATGATAAAAGTTAAATTTGGAAATAGTTTATTTGATCATTAGTTATTCAAATAATCATTGTCTTCTATACTGTACATTAAATGTTTAACAAATGTATGGAAATCTTGTGCAACTAATTGAATGATCAATCTAACTGTAATGATGTCATCAGTTTGGTTACAGAATTTAGTTTGTAAGATTTTTATTTATTTAAAGTTAAAATCCCAAATTCAATTCTTATTATGTCTGTAAGGTATCATATAGACCATACAAAATTTGTTAATATTGAATGAATTATATCTAAACGTAACAAATATTTTATTTTAGGAACAACGAAAACAAGATAATGATAAGACTTCGTTATTTGAAACTTGGATGTCTGTTAATCTACAAAATTTAACTCCAATTCGAAAAAGCAAGTCTTTTGACCGAGGGTAATATAAATTTAATAATAATTTTATAGTTATGATTTAATTAAATTAATATATTGAGCTCTGAAAAAATTATGGATTATTATTATTATTATAATAAAATATTAGAATGTTAGTCTTATTATTGATTATTCTAAAGGAATATTCAATGTAAATTTGATAAGCTTGGTCACAAATAGTCAAGCTTATTTGAATTAGTTTTGAGTTTCATCTGCTTTTCATAAAACTTCAACAAAACATCTAAGAAAAGTAGGTGACACTTTAGGTTAAGTTGAATAATCATGTTTACTTTAATGACCATTTCTCTATAAACACAGCATAGTTCACAATGAAATAGAGGATACAAAAAAATTTAAATGAGTTAATCTCAGATAAATATATTATTTTTACATAAACTTGTAATGATTTTATGATCATAAAACTTTTATAGTAAGATGATAATTTTTTCAGATATGATATAATTTAGTTACAAAAATGAACATATGAAAGTGTAGAAATTATAAAAACAAAACAATCTGATTAAACTAAGTTACTTTATGATGATTACTTTCACAAAACTAAAACTTCCAACCTTTCTTTTTAGGCTTCTAGAAGGGATGTAGTTGCCTTGCCAGATATGCAATTATTTACATAAAATACTATAATTTTGTGAAAATGGTTATTATAAAGTAACTCTTTTTAATCAGATTAACTTTTTATGATTTGTACCCTACATTAAATATATGACAAGTGTCTTTTTATGAGGACAGATATATGATTTTAGAACTAAAAATAATAAACATAAGATTTTTAAAAATTACATGTGAAATATATATTTTATATATGATTTTATATTCAGAATATAAAATCAAGATTTAAGTTAGGTTTGTGTGTGTAGTACAGTATAATTCCAGTTTACAAGCATGTATTGTTCCTTAAATATCATTCTTGAATTGAAATTTCGTAATCAGTTTTTCCATTATTTTGTATGGTTAAAATTTGAATCTTTATCATTAGGAATTTACCCCATGTCAATTTGGAGTAACTGTCTGTCCATTGGTTGTGATTTTCTACTCCCAAAATTGCATTTTATGTGCTTAAGGAAAGCAATCTGTTCTGTTTGACATCACAAATACACTCTCCTTCAGGACCTTATACAATCAATTGTAGGACTCAGTGTTTCATTCTTTGATTAATTTACTAATTGAGACTAATGCAAAATTGATGAACTTAGCAGACTGAGTTTCCACCTGACTAAAAAAGAAGTATTGTAACAAGCTCTCCTGGATACTATGTTTCCAACATACCAGGATTCCTTCTGATTACACCCTTTGAAATGCTGGAATGACCTCTCTTCTCCACAATGTCTGTGGGAGGCCATCAAACTTGGCTCCATGTTTATGCCACCCTCTCTACCTAAATGCAAACCGATCATACCTAATGTTGAACATTCTTTGGAGGGCCTTAATGAAGTTCAGAAAGAATATTTTAGGTGGAAGATGACTTTTACCATTTGAAACTCTACTCCCTGATACACAGAGAATTTGGTTAAGGCCAACAGAGCATGGTTGCAGGTTAACAATGCCATTATCATAGAAGCAGACAAATCTATGGACTTGATTCTCTTCTTATGTACAGTACCACATATACAAGGGTCCTTCTTGAATACATTATGGCCACAGAATGCATGGTGCCCCAACATCTATTAGAATGACTACAGTCCAGAGTAAAACATTTTGTACACCACTTTGACATGGGAACTCCACCTGAGCAATGCTGTGATTATGTCCCCATCAACATCCAGATTATATGCCTTCACAAAAGTGTACAAACCAGGAAAAAGCTTAAGACCAGTGGCAGACAAATACTGTTCGCCAACCATCCTCATTGAGTGATTCCTCTGCAAATTTGTCATTCAACACCTATCTGCATATGAATACAGCATCTCACAACCATTAGCTCTGGTTGAGAAACTAAGAAGTCTTGATCTGTACAATGAAGAATATGGGACTGTCTTGGATTTTCAAGCTTTATACCCGGCAATTAAATTAGAACCCCGCTTTTGTCATCTGAGGAACTTTCTCCTATGAAAATTTAACCATGCACTCAAGTTACAAAATCAAATGTTTGAGTTGTCACATCTGGTGACTTATTCATTATTGTTCTCACTTAACAACACTATCTACATACAGAACAGAGGTGTACCCATGGGGAGCCCCCTTTCAGGAGTGCTTAGGTTCCTGGAGACTTCCATCCTGCCCAAGTATGTTTCCAACATTTGTATATATGCTAGATACATAGATGATGATCTCATCATTTGGAAAAAAACATCCCATTATCCAAAATTTTATAGCTGACACAGACTCATGCTGAATTTGGAGCAAGAAAGTAATAGGGAAGTGCTAACACTCGGAATGGAAGCATCTTCATGAGCATTTACAGGAAACCTTCCTACAATCCATTGTTCATTCTTTGGCGTTCCCATGACCTACTCAACTATATCAGTGTTCTGGGCATTGATCAAGAGAATGGACACATTGCACAGATGCCCTTGATAGAAACAAGGAATTGAATTACAGTAATACCCCGAACTTACGGGATAGGTGGGACCAAGCAATAACCACGTAAGTCAAATTCATATAAGTCGGGGTATAATTTCACATACAAATACATACAAATTATTTTTAATTGAGACTGGAGACTAAAGAAAACAATAATTTAGAAAAAAATGTTTTCAAAAGACTTTAACAGAGAGCTTGTTTTGTCTCATAGCTTCATGCAGATGTGCAAACGATCATCTCATGTAATGAGCTTTGAACGTTTTGATGACTCCCTGGTCCATCGGTTGAAACAAGCTGGTTGTATTTGGTGGCAAAAATACAATTTTCACACGCGGGTCAAAATTAGTTAAAGTTGCAGGGGATGACCTGGTGCATTGTCGATTATTAGCATCACTTTAAATGGAATTTGTTTAGATTGGCAATAACGTTCAACTTCAAGTATGAAGTGATGACCAAACCAGTCCTCAAAAAGGGAAGCTGCCACCCAAGCTTTGCGATTCGACTTCCAAATCACAGGCAAGCCAGCTTTAGATTTTTTTAAAATGCTCTTAGATTTTCCAAGCGATAAACTAAGAGAGGTTTTAACTTACAATCACCAGCTGCATTTGCGCCAACCATCACTGTCAACCAATCTTTGGCAGCCTTAAAACCTGGAAAGGTTTTCTCTTCATGGGTGATAAACGTTCTTTTAGGCATCTTCTTCCAGAACAGACCAGTCTCATCTACATTGAATATGGTTTGGCTGGTATAGCCACCTTCATCTATCATAGCTTTGAATTTCTCTTGATAGTAAGACACAGCCTATTTATCAGCACTTGCTGCCTCTCTACTTTATGCAATGCTATGCCAATTACAGCGACTTTTGAATTGGCTGAACCAACCGTTACTAGCTTTAAACTCTTCATCTTTAGCCACTTCTCCAGCATCCTCTTTCAATCTCTCAAAAACCAGCTTAGCTTGAGAGCACACCATGTTCTGATCAATAGGACAATTTTTCACGTTCACTTGATTATCACACCATAATTTAAACATTGTTTCCATCTCAGCAATAATATCGTGAAGTTTATGAATGATGCTTGAATTTAAAGATTGAGCATTTTTCACAGCTTTGAGAGTTTTTTCTTTACCTTTTATAATTGTTCTGACCGTCGATTCTGGTAGATCAAACTTCTTTGCCAATTCACAAATTTTCATTTTTGTATCAAAGTTAAAAATGTTAACTTTACATTCCAAAGATAAAGTGTTTTTTTCTTGTTTGATGCAGAAGAATCTGTTCTACTTCATTTGGATGACATAGTAGAGTTTCTCAAGTCTCCGTAGATATAACAAATACAGAAATAAATAACACAAAATAAATTGTAGCTATGCGTTGATTCTGCATGACACGTTCGAACATGTAAGCTGAACAATAGTGTGGGAGGGAGTGAGTAATCAAGAGTGTGTGGCGCTCAAACAAAAGAGGAATGGACGAGATTTAAAAATCACGCAACTCCGGGTTCGCATAAGTCGGTACCATAAGTCAAAGTATTATTGTATATCATTTCTGTTGGTACGAGATTTGGTTACAAACGTAGGACCGTTAAAATCCTTATTGATACATTCCAACACAAAATGGAAGGATATCTCAGGAATTCTTCACAGGCTGAATGCCTAATTGTTGACCAAATCACTTCCCAAAGTAACATCGTTAAGGAGATAGGCAACACCATTAGTTGCAGCATCACCTCCAAAAGAAACCCTACTGTTTATAGATTATTAAGAAATTATAATGATCTCCTGGACACGGCACTGATTTCAGGTGTTTATAACATACCCTCAGCAGACAACAGACTCGCACACAAAATATATGTAGGGGCCACCCTGAGATCCATCCAACAATGCTTAAAAGAACATAAGGACGACATCAGGAAATTCAATCTGACTACCACCTTAGCATCATATGCCATTGCTAATCAAGCTTCTACAAGTATTGAATGGGATCGAGCCCAAATCATCCGAAAAATAGGGAATTGCTGACATATACACTACGCAGAGGTTTTTCATATTTATAAAGTGATATGTGCGGGATATTCTATCAATTATAAGAGCATTAACTCTCTGTCAGCAGATCAGAGGTTTTTTTGTATACCCTCTATATAAATAATGCAAAGCCTTGTGACAGCTACAGAAGAGTCTATTTACATTATCTGATTTAATAGATGGAGGTTCATTATTTAATATTTTGTATTTAATTAATTTTAATGTTTCATGGTGTATTTATCGATTTAATTTTTATGTATTTCCTTATTTACGTTTTATTTATATGCAATCATTTTTTAATTTTTTTGAATATTTTTGAATTTATACATTTGTTTTGCAATATATTAATGTTTGGATGATAAAATTTGAATTTGTATTTTGGAATATTTTCATCCAAATACCATTGTGGCATTCCAATATGTATTCTACTGGAAGAAGGTTGTTAAAAACACTTAAAAACGTTTTAGTTATTAAATTTTTGCTGTTTGTTCAAGGTTATTTGAGTGTGTTTATTATCTTTGCAAGACAGCTCTGATTCAGTAATAGAGTAAAATGAAATTAATTTTTAATTAATGAAATTATAATCACAGATAAATGGATCTGTATTGTAGAGATAAAGTTCCCTGAAGTATACAATTGTGTTAGAATGAATAGCACTACAAACAGACATAATGTTAATGAAACAGAAAATGAATACTGAAACCTATGAGCTAACTAATTATATTTCTTGGGAATTTTAGTCTCTTTTCACATGATTATATTTTGTTTTTGTAAATTGGGAAGAAAAAAGAAAACAGCTTGTTGTATCAAATTCTCATATATCGAGTATTCTTAAATCGGGATCATACTGTATAAAGTGTATACTATACAATAAATGAAAATGTGAAGTATTTTTTATATAAATATTTTATTAAATATATAAATATAATTTTAATAATAATCTCATATTTTACATTCATTTATGTTAATCATTTTTACAATATTATAAGATAATATTTTTCCATGAAAATATGTATATAAAATATATAGAATAATAATTTTAAATGGAATAATTTTAGACTAAAAATAATTAATTTTATTCTTTTATTTAGTTCTTCAAAGAAAAATAATATCCAAAATAAGCGTGCAAGATACTTGGTTAAAGAATTGGAAGAATTGACAAAACAAGCATTTGATAAAAATGGTATAAGCTATTAATATTCAAAATATAATTAGAAAGTATTTACATTAAAACCAGGGCTGTGTAGTCGCGTAAAAATTTACCGACTCCGGCTAAAACACTAAAACTCCACGACTCCGACTCCGACTTTTCCTTACCAATCTGACTCCAACTCCGACTCCACAGCCCTGATTAAAACTTTATTATAGAGTATAATATAATACAGCAGTGTAGTGACTGGTAAATTTGCCAGCTATTATTATTCAATTATTCAGTGCCAACTATGTGGGTTCATTCTGTGGATCAAGGATTTCTATACACTTAGTATTTAATTTATCTACAAGGACTTTTTTATTCTATTACTAGGACTTATTATACTGGTGTAATAAGTCCTGTATAATAAGTTCTAGTAATAAAATAAAAGTCCTTGTAGACATCATATGTTTAGTATGTAATTTAAGGACACAAAGGCGTATAATTTGATTTCTATATATATATATATATATTTCAAGCATATAAAAATGCTTTATATAAGCAAGGCAGTTTTATAAATTTAATATTTTCTAACTTTTGAACATCCTTTCATTTACATTGAAAGATATAACCATCATTAAGGATTGTAAATTTACCGACTTTTTCATTTACCAGTAATTCGGTAAATGAACATTAAAATACCTGTTTACCGGTAAATTTTTTCCTGAAAAACAAAATTAAAGTGATAAAAAATATAAGTCATTTTGAATTCCATTTCACATTTTTTATTTCAAAGATATAGAATATAAAAAAAAAATATAAAAATTAAAGTGTTATTCTAAACAAACTATAATAATAACTTTTAGAAACAGAAATAAAATAATATGGAAAAATAAAAATACAACAGAAATAATATATAGTACCTAATACCTTTTTATTGACTACCATTTTTTAAAAACAAACTTTTCAAGACTTTAATTATTTAAAGTCTTATATCCTAATTTTGATCTAATTTTTGTAGAAAATAATCCAGGTTAGGTTAGGTTTCCAGTCTTTTTCGGACAGCATCTTTAAGTAATAAAAATCTTTCCAGCATGTTTAGTAAGCTATTCCACCTGGTTCTACAATCTAAAATTAAAGAAAGTTCTTTTTGTGAGAGTAATAGGGATTCCCCAAGAAAATAGTGATAGAATAATACATATTTTGCACAATCTTAAGGCATAATATTAGAATCTTGTAATAAATATTTGTATTTAATTATTTTAAACAGTTGTTAGAAGTAAAAAATTTATTTAAGGTAAAAATTTTAATGTTATTTNTATAATATAATATTAAATAAATTAATTACTAAATTTCTTTAGTAAAATTTCCTACATGTTTTTTTTGTTTCCAACAGGCATTATTAAACTTTTATTTTTTTTTAATTCATATTCATTTTGAAGAATAAATTACTTTTTATTATAAATTATTCTGGATGATAAAATATAATTCTTCTGTTTTTCTTTTAGTATTACGTTATTAAAAATTAACATGTAATATTTTACTACATTTTTTTGCTGTTAAATTGATGTGTTATATATAAATATGTATCTGTATTAAGCTAGGTTCACAATATCATACACACCACTACAAATGAACATTAACAAAGAGAAATACTGTTTGCATCATGCTATGCTGAACAGTTAGAATGCGATTGCTCAAAAAGGTTTTGTTTACAATCACCACTTTTAAGGAAAAAGTTAATTGGTTGAACAAACTGAAGTTTTGTTAAAGTTGAGGATACTTTCATCTCCTATCAAACTAGTTGAACAGTCACCACAAGGACACATACTGGCAATTTGTATCCATTTTGTAGCAGTTTATATGCCAATGTGAACCTAGCTTTAGAGTTGATAAAGAATTTTTTTAATGCTACAAGTCTGAAATTTGGAAATTATTTGCAAGATTCAAAATGTTCTAATTAATTAAATTAAGCAATTATTTATTATGACATTAAAGATTGCAGCCTGGCATTGTGATAATCATCTTTTATTAAAAATTTATCACCTGACTTCCTGGCCTCCAGTCCCTAAGCTTTTCATATCCGATCTCAATTTTCATCTACCTAACTCCATTCTTGAGATTAATTAATTAATTAATGGATGACAGTGGGAATGTATATGTGTGCAATTTAAAAATTGCAGCCCAGTAATAATTTAGTCTTATTTATAAACAATCTTATAATTAATTAATCTATTTGTAAACAATAAAGTATATATAAGACAAATTAAAGATAAGTTTTTCTTGATTGTTTTTTATATTGAGAACTTGAGAACTAAAAAACTTAATCTACAAAAATGAATGTTTTCACTTTTTCATGGAAAATACTTTTCAAGGAAGGAGACAAAGACCAACTTTTTTTTATGAAGTTCTTTTTACTCAATACTAATAATACTAAACTAATAATAAATAATTAAACTAATAATTTAAATTATTATTTATTTAAATAATTATCCATAATTTTCTGAACTATTTCTTTTTGTTTTTAAGTAGGCTTGTGAATTCATTTCATAGAGAGCAAATTTATATCTGTAGAAATTTTTTCATTTTACAGTAGGTTTTAGAATTACTATTTTAAAAATTCATTTTATTTAATTATATTTTTAGATCTTGTTTTTGGGAAAATAATTGTGATAACATGAAAACAACTGAACATAATTCTTCAGTTATTGAAAGTTCATTAAGTCCTACTAAAGGAGAATTATCAGCTGAAGAATCATGGGAAAATGCCAATGAAAGTTTTTTGATTGAAGCCACCCAGTTAGTCGAACGATTGGAACATAATAATTTTTCTAAAAACAATTCGTTAAGTTCGGTATGTGAAAAATCCGAAGGATTTAAAAATGACATAATGAATCAAAATACTCCCATACCTAACAAAAGTACTGATCATAATTTGCCACAAGAACCAGAAATGAATTTCAAAAAATGTGACGAAAAAGATGAATTTTGGGAAAGCGATAGTTCTTTAGAAGAAATTATTGGCTCGTTACAAGAAGATCAATTAATTATGCCAGGAATAACTTCTCTTTCTGACAATGTACAAAACAAGTCAGAATATTCTAGTGTAGATTTGTTTACTATAAATGAAAGTGATACATCAGAAGCAACAACATGTGTCAAAAATGAACTTAAAAATGTAAATGTCAACATTAAAAATTCAGTAAAAAATGGGACAAATGAACAAATTTCTAAAAGTAATACAAAAGAGAATGGAGTCTTAGTCAACGACACTTCACCTGAAATGAAATCTAAATTATTCCAAAGTAAGTTTTAGAAAATATGCATAATTTAGATATTATATCAGTAATTAGAAGTAAGAATAAGTCTTTTATTTTTCAAGAATTTTAAATAAACTTTTCATAAAGATACAGTAAAATATCTTTTATTAATCTGTTAAAAAATATGACAAAAAAAATTGAAAGTGTGTGTGTAAGATTTTTATAACTAAAAATTAAATTTTGGTAAACATTATAAACAGTTCTGAACCAAAATTATGGTATGTGTAAGTAATGAAAAATTAAATTAGTTCTGTTGATTTTATTAATAAAAATATATTAATTTATTCAATATACTAATTTATCAAAATTTAAAATCAAGATGGCAGAACTAAAAATTTTTACGACAAATGACATAGTTGTGTTACAGCTTTCTGCAAATGTTTTAATGTTTAGTTTTTGTTTTACATTATATTATCAGATAGAGAAAGAAAATTAGTTTAGAATCTTTTTATTTTTTAAGATTGTTTAATATTATTATTTTGTATAGGCTATGAAAAAAAAGAAGGATCTAATTTAAAGTTCATTGTTCATTGATTGAAATATTTTTTATTTTTATTTTTTTAAGTCAAAACCAGTAAAAAGTGTACCCCTGAAGAAATAGCAAAGAAAAGAGAGGAGGCAATGAAGCGAAGGCAGAAAAACATCAAGAAAGTGAGATGAAATAGAAATAAGCAAGGTTAAGAAGTGAAATTTTTCTATAGCTATTTGAATGATTAATGAATTAATCATGAGTGATACTTTTTCATTGCAAACATTCAAACCTTTCATATACTTTTGTATATAAATTGTGTAAATTTGTAAATTTTCGTTGACAAAAATAAAATATTTTTTAGTATTGGAAAAGTTTGGTTACATTTCTGATAAACATTTGATTTGTTGATATTAATTCAGACTAATCTTTTGTCTATAAATTTTAAATTATCTAATTGAATATAAACATGGTATACTCACTTAATACATTCTTTTAATGTAAACTCACTGTAACACATTAGGTTGCCACCAATTGACAATTGCTAGAGGAAGCAAATACCATTGTTTTTATTTTAGGACAGTTAGTTCCTTCAGATATTCTTGTAGGTGAGCATAACAACAAAACTTTCTACAGTTGCTAATTAAGCAAGAAGTCAAATATTTTTTACTCAAATTTAAACACAAAAGAATTACAAGTAGCTAAAAAAATATCAAAATAAAGCCACAAATGCTTAAAATCACTTAATTAACAATAAATTAAATAACAATTAATATAAATTTATCAAAAAGTAAAAAGTTAATTTTTAATTCTTGAATTAATTGCAAAACATACTGCTGCAAGTTATAGAAAGATATCATTGGCATGGGAACAGAAGCAGGAGTTGACAATGTCAGCTACAGATTTGGCGATAGTTATTAAAATCCACTATGAGTCATTCATCATTGAATAACTCTAAGTTTTGGAATTTAATGTTTTACTTCAAGAAAAGAGGAGGATAATAAGACACACAGAGTATTGAATATTAAAGTTTTAGAAGCACTTCTTTTCCTGTAACAAATGTATGAACGTTTTTAGAAGATCACCACGACAAGTTTTTGCTAGTCAAGTTGAACAAGTACAATTCTAAATTTTATTCAGCATACAAAAAATATCAGAATTTAATCTATTGATAGTTAATTCAAAATTTCAAAAGTACAAATTATGCAAATTTAATTTGATTTTTAAATCATTTACACGGTGATTCAAATTAGAAAAAATTCTCCGAAAATTTTAGGTTTTTATTAGGGAATCGTTATATTTGATATAATTCATTCTCTGCATAACAATAACAACAAAATGTTTTTTTGTTGTTACTAATTTAGAACAGATTGGTTTGTATTTTCTATTTTAAAAAAAAGTATCTTTTACTATTTTACTAAATTAAAATTTGTTTTTAATCTATATGAATATCTTGAAAAAAATAGGCACATCAACAAATTTTTAACATTTTTTAAAATTTGAAATTAGCAACAACTTGTTTTTGATTTGTATTTTTGAACATATTGTACAGTAGAAAACTATACAAAAATGTGTTACTGTTAATTTCAAATTAACAATATATAAAAACTTGCCAAAGTACAGCTTATATCTAAAGATATAATATCAAATCTTAACAAATATTCATTTTTATTTATATTTGTAAGCAAATTTTTAAAACTAAGTTTCATATTAATCATTTTGTAGGTACTGTAGATATGAAATTTCTATGGCTAAAGTTGTCAATTCCTAATACAAAAATAAAAATATTTCATAGCATTAAAAGAAATGTTAAAGCATTTTTCTTTTGCATTTGTACGTGAAACTCCAGTATAATGATTTTCCAAGAAAAACGTGAAATTCTTAGAAAATTTTTTCTAATTTGAATCACTCTAAAATCAAATTAATTAAATTTACAAACAACTCAACTAAAACCCAATACACTATAATAATAAAGCCAACCATGACTGTATAATGGCTATAGTAATAATAAATTACCAAATAATTTGACCCTAGAGGGAGGTGTTAGGTGCCATCTCATAACAAACTTAATAATTATAATTTAATTAAATAATTTTAGATTAAACTGGAAGAAGAAAATCAGCTTGGAGCAAGACTCAAACCTGGGGCCATATTCTGGTCACCGTCTCTGGTCTCTCGTCTCTCACAAGCTAGTCACTGATTGGCTAATCCAAATGATTAGCCAATCAGCGACTGGCTTGTGAGAGAACAGAGACTGTGACCAGAATACAGCCCCTGCAACTGTTGTGGGTTCAAGTCCCACCCTGGACCAACTGTATTAAAAAAAAAAAAAAAAAAATATTGTATTATTCTAATGAAAAGAGGAATAACAGAAAAAGATTGTAAGGATCATAGTATCAGTGTTCTTACTATGTCCTTACAATCTTTTCAAAATAATAAATTTTGATGCGTGGTCTGAAGCTAAAACCCTTTATTTCTGTTTCAGTCCAGCCATTGGAGATTGTTTACAAACAGTTGTTTTGTATGCAAATGTTTAAAATATAGCACAACAAATAGTGTACGAAACAATAGTGAAGTATGACATTTTAATGAGTTACTTGATCCACAATGAAGTAATTTGTCAGAAAAAGCAAATAATTTATAATAAAACAAGATAATTTTCTGTGATTGACTGCTACTAAGTGAGGTGGTAACTTTAAACTTGAAGAAAGTTGAGATGGTAAACTTTTCAAAAGATTTAAATATGATTCTGAATTCTACCAGTTGTATTTGAAATTTCCCCATGTCAATTTGTTAAATACATACAGTAAACTCCCGATTATCCGTGCACGAATTTAATTTAAAAAAAAAAATTGTGTGTGTATGTATTTTTTAAATAGTTGTTCGCTTTCATGTTTATGCATCTTATAAGTGTGCACGTGTTCGTATTTAGATGTTTGAAGCGGGTGGTGGGGGTTTCTGAAGTCAGCTGGACTGGTTTTAATTAGGCCGCTTCTTTCAATGTTTTAATGTTTAGTTTTTGTTTTACATTATATTATCAGATAGAGAAAGAAAATTAGTTTAGAATCTTTTTATTTTTTAAGATTGTTTAATANTTAAAATGCCTAATAATCGAAAGAAAGTCGTACTTACTATAAAACAAAAACTAACGTTAATTGAAAAATTTGAAAAAGGTGAATCTACATGTTGTATTTTAGAAATAAATAATTATAGTTCGGATTATCCGTGCCACCTCTCCCTACCATTAGCCCGGATAATCGGGAGTTTACTGTATTTACATCCCAAAAATCTGAATAAGTTCTTTTTATATATACTTTGGCCAAAAGATGTATTGAGAGATAAGTTCTAAGTTTGATCATCAAAAAACCAAAAAATGTTTACCAGGAAGATGTTCTGCAGAGTATATCTGTAAATGTTTGATTTTCAACATAGCTCTAATGGTAATATAAATTATTGTATGAGAATAATATAACAATAGTTCATAAAATATTCTATGTACACAATGAGCTAATTTATTTTTAGCTGTATTGTAACACGAAAGAAATAATATTGAGTTGGAGAGACCCTGACGGACATTATGTAGATTTTTTTTCTCTCATTTTATATCCTTTACAGATTTTGATGGTTGAGTTAAACTTTTTTCTCTGGTCTCCTCTTTGTGAAGATTGTCATTTGAAGTGTGACCGATGATCATTGAAGCTGGATTTGTTCTACAACAATATTGCAGTAGTACCTTCAACCCTACCTCTGTTTATTAAGTGGAGTGAGCTATCCAGCACTATCTGCCAGTTTGAGTCTTCTAAGAATACCGAGTCAGATGGACTTCGATGACAACATGCAGGTCTGTTTTTCGACTATAATTGTTTTTAACTCTTTACAGGTTGGTAATTTTTTTATTACTATATTAATGTGATTTTTATTAAGTTTTTGAATGTCTTAGTCCAGCTCTCGTGGCTCGTGTTGTTTTATTTACTTTTTATATGTTGTTTCACACGTTAAAGTAGATTTAATATAAAGGAATCCATTTTATAGTTTGATAAACACTGTTTTTTTTTTTCAATTTAAAATTTTTAATTCCTCTCCATGTAAAAATATTTAAATATAGGAACTTAAGAGAGCTCCCATATTCAAATATTATCTGTGTAAATTTTGAAGATTTCTTTATTGCAAATTTTCTATTAATAAAATTTGTCTGTGGTGATTTCAATTTCAATTTGATATAATTTAAAACCATGCTGCTCTTAGTTGGATTCCTCAGAGGTATTTTTTTTTTTGTGTGTTGGCTTTCCAACTAGGTTCAATTCTTTCTTGGATCATATTTTTCTATCCATTTAAATGTTTGTTATTCTTGTTTTGGAATTTCATCTGGACATTCTGCCATCTGTTTAGAACTTGTTTTCATTAAAAATCTTCATAGGTCATCTCATCAGTCTCTGATTCTAGTACTGGTGTGGAATCTTACAGATCAGAAACATGGAATATTTAGAAAAAGTATTTAGTGTATTTAAGTCATCCCACACCTTTAGCATTTGGCTCCAAATTCTTTTTATCATATTCTGGTTTAAGAAAAAAAGAAAAGAAAATTAGAATGCAAGGCGTTTATTGGGGAAAAAGAGGCATTTAAAAGAATCATTTACTATTAATATTTACCATTAAATTATTTAATACAAAAATACATGCACATGCTGTTTAGTTATAACAAAAAATTATAACACTGTAATATGTTTAATTAAACAATAATGTTTTCTTTTCAAGAGTTGATCTAGTTAGAGGTAGCAGTAGCCTACTGAAGGCCATTTAGGGAATTCGTTAGCTTATGGGAGATTGCAACTTCATGTATAAGACTATCTATTATAGAAAGCTGTTGTAATCTCAGTCCCAAATAAAAGTAAGGCAGCATTGTCAATTATAACGCTGTAGCACATGAAGAAGTACTTCCTATTACCTTTCCTTGCATTCTGAAATATCGAGCTGGAGCTTGTTACAAACAAGCAGTCAAATATAACAGGTAAATGCACAACATATGGGGGGGTATCAGTGCATCACTGCATGTAATGTGGGTGTGGTTAAATGTGCAGTTAGGTTAGCAGGTATGTATATGTAAAATGATAAGATTTAACAAAGAAAGCAAACAGCATTATATAAAACATAAAACACTACAGATACATAAACAAACATTACAAAACCCAATAAATTTGTAAAGCCAAACAACCATCGGATCCACAATACAGCTTGATCCTCATGCCAAATATCAGACGAAAGGAAAGAAAAGCTCACCGAGTATGGCATTAATTGCTAGTGTTTTCAATGAACTTATGTTCATCATTGTCAAGTGAACAAAAATTAAAAATAAGAATTAAAATAAAAACTGTTATGAGCATGCTACCAACTTCGATTACACTCAATGTTCAATTCTTTCCTTCTAACCACTGGATTTCATCGGGCTACTTTTCTGCAGTTATATTTAATTAATTACTAAATAATTTTTCACTAGAGGGAGGTGTTAGGCACCATCTCTTATTAAATTTAATAATTACAATTAAATTAATATTTATTAAATAATTTAAAATATTTTGGAAGAAAATTTTATGGTTAATGGTTATATCATATTTAAATATGTCTGTAAGAGGCTCGGTAGCATAACTGACAACACATCTGCATGGTAAGTGGAAGTTGCAAGTTTGACTCCTGCTCCGGGCTGATTCTTTTCTTCCAGAATATTCTACATTATTTAATAAATATTAATTTAATTGTAAAAATAGCCCAATGTAACCTGGTGGTTGTTTGGCTTTATAAACACTACAGATGTTTATATGTGCTGTTTATTGTGTGTGCTCAAAATGACTAATTTTCACAACAAAACATGCTTTACCTTTCCAACAACAGCTTTGTATGACTATCAACTTGTTGTCTTATGTAGCACTTGCATTCAGAATACATTGTTGCACATCGTTTGCATTCAATGACTGTATTTTGTAAACCTTTGACTTCAGACTTTGGTATAAGGTCTGGGAATCTTGGCAGTCAGTTCACTAGTCAATTCTGACCTACTCCTTGTTATATGAAATAAATGTCCATCCAATCCCACACTGCATTACTGTGTGGTGAAACTACATAATGCACAAATGCTGCAATGAAAGGTTTTCTATAAACTCTGCTACTGTGCCATTCAAAATGTTATTTAAATTCCTCTGTTCAATCAACATTACTGCATAAAACAGAGGACCAATTAACTGTTTTCCCCAAATACTGCATCAAATTTTGATGGCAATTTCACTTGATGGAGTGTCCCATGCCCAGTATGGATTCTTTTGTGCCCATTAGTGCATGTAATGTGTATTGTATCTTGGGTAATGAATATCCAAGATGGAATTTAAGATTTCATCTTGGGTATTTTATATCTGAACTTTATTGCAAATATCAGTTCACACAATGTTTTCAATAAAATTTTAATTTACATCTATCATATTTATCGAAAAATTGTACCAATCCATTTATTGCTGTTCCTCACCCTCATGTAGTGCTTGTTGTTGTTGGCATTGAAGTGCACATTGCATTCATGCAGAATTCAATGCCACACTAATACCCACCAGTGGTTGGTTGTAGGTTCATGCCTTGTCAATGGGCTGTCTGTGTGAAGTTTTACAGTTTTCTTTGCATTTGTAACACCTAAATAGGATCAGTTTTCCATAAAAAGTCCTTCTGGGTGGCATCCTCCTCGACAGATCATTCCTGTGGATGTGCAAACATATATGCCACAGTGGCTGCATGGTCATTGCCACTATTCTTCAATGACCTGATGTACTGTTATTAAATAAGTTATAGTTGCAATTATTACACACACAACTATATATACAATGTAGTTTTCAGTTGGTTTTGATATTTTCCATTAAATTAATTTAGATTATTTACATATCCATATCATTGCTAACCTAAATCTAACTGTACCAGTAAATTTAACATGCTTACATTGCATTTATGTTATGCAGTGATGCACCATTATACCTTGCACGTTGGGCAGTGAAGCATTTACTTGACAGCTTATTCCAAGATCCTGCTTCATACTTTAAACTTTACCCTTTTAAAATAGTAAGTGGTTGTTGTGTTTTGTTTCTTAGTGTTTTATCTTACGTAATAATGAATTTCTTATATATATATAAACACCTCAAAATTAGTAAACATCAAACACCTTGATGTTTACTAATAAGACAAATGATTGCCATATTGAATCAGGCTACTTTACCACTACTATTAGTAATTAAATTCTGAGTAATTGATACTAGAGGTAGGCATTAGGTGCCATCTCTTAAATTCAATACATGGTAAAGTAGCCCGATTCAATATGACAATTGTTTGGCTCATATTCATTAGTTTAAGGAAGTAATTTTATGAAAAAACTCAAAAGTTTACTATGATTTGTAAATTCAAAGTTTATTCACAACTTTACTAACATGGTTATAAAAGTGACATCAGTCAATAATTTATGTGCACATAATAATAATACAAAACTGAATTTTAGTTTTAATACTGCGTAACTAATCTTAAGTACAATTCTCAGTCCGCCATCATTAAGTTTATTAATTTTCTCGAGGCCACACTAGCTGTATTGACTTTCGTAGGTCTTAAAATAAGGATCTCTTCTCGTCAAACATATAATTCATAATCGTCAAACTCGTCTCCAATATATCAGTGAAAAAAGTTTGCGTCTACGACAAAATTATTTATGTTACTATAACTTTTATGATCACATCTTATCAAAATAACTATGATTCATTATGATACATTTTTTTTAAAACTCAACTTATACGGGTGAGGTTAACAGTAAGGTTAGAAATTATTCATAGTTTGAATATGTACAAATGAATGATGACTTTTTATTGTTTTACTATCTCAATTTGTGCTATAATTTACACGTATGACAATGCAAACAATTAAAACTTAATACGTAGAATAATACTAGGGAATGTCTTTAATGAATAAAACTCATATTAAAAAATGTTAATAACAAACTAATATTACAACATTGATATGATGTATATATCATTTTCTAAACTTACTTAAAAAATCTCATTTATACATAATTTTCCATTTATCACAATTAAAACTTGATATACCATTAAGACATTGCTCAAATTGATACTTTCATTTTGATATACAATATTATATATTATAACTATCATAATGCACAAAACAAAAATGTTTATAATTTCAGATTTTAATTTTATTGTTTAAATAATTAACAAACTTACAAGAAATCTACTGCCCCAGAGCAAAAGGCTCTATCAAAAATTGAGTTATGCACTCAGTATCATGCATAATCAGCGTCCTTTGTTGATACCGTCCGATATCTAGAGTGAAATTTTATGCAAGATGTTGGGCGTTGTCAATAAAGGATACTAATTAGGCATGATATCAAGCATGTGACTTGATTTTTGATTTTTTCTAGATAGATTTTTCTGCAAAGGGTGGTGGAAATATGAAAGATTATGTTAAGTAATCGTCATTTTTTTTTTAAAGAATATTTTTTTATACGCCTAAATATTATAAGCTGCTTGTTTTAAACTAATTTTTGAAAAATGAAATAGTAAACTTTTCATGTTTTTATTTTCTTTTTGGATTTATTTATTATATAACAATAAACAATGACATTTTAATTATAAATATCGAACTTTTTACAATAAGCTCGTCAAAATCTGTACACTATTATAATGGAAATCATATTTCAATGAAATAGCAAATTTTGTTACGATTTCTTAATTCTCAAAGAAAAACAATTGTAAAAAATCCGGCAAAGCACTATTTCAGACTATAACAATCCCACAAGACCAAGCACAGCATATTAATGGTGGCAAGTAAAAAAATTTTATATTCTACATGAATGTTTACTTTGAATATTTCAAATTATTTCTAGCTTTTTAATTATAATTTTTAAAATATTACTAAAGAGCATTTAAAGAAAATGAATGGAAAACATTCTCCGTAGAAGCAATCGAACGACACATGTAGTAAAATCATAAAATTCGGTAGATTGTCTATGGTAAGGGGATATTTTAAATTTTACATTTGAACACATGATGTGAAATTACATTTTCATATATAACAAAAATATATTTTACATGAATATATGGTATGAATAATATACACATTGTCAAGTACATTACACTTAAGCCTTTAATATGACAGATAAAATTCCAATTGTTTTTAATTTTTTTGCAGTTTATATGATTTTTTTCCAAGAGATTTTATCCAATTTTAATTTAAGGCTTTTGATATTAAGATATAAATGAAACATTTAAATCTTTCAGTGCCTTACGGACAGAATTTCCGATTGCATTCTGCACGCGTCCGATAATTTGATTAAAAAATTATGCCAGAGGTAATGCATAATATTTATTATTATATTGTTTTCCAAAATTCTCACATTTATTAATTTGTAACATTTAATTATGATGAATAACGAAGTTAGATTTGTTCTATTTATGAGCAAATTTAATCGAGTGTCAGTTTTTAACGTTACACTTCATTTTTTATTTTGGCACTCTGAATTACAGTAAGCGCCACAATACTACTAGTAATTTTAAAAAGTTTATGATAAATGGAATATGTATAGAGAAATTACTATAAAAGCAGATATGATTTTGCAAGAAGTTTAACTTTAAAGGAGTTTTATATCTTACTCCACATAATTTAAATAAAAGTAACCATCACAGTATTATCGATATTGTGCTTTTGAAAATTTGTTCAATTTTTCAGCCAGAATTTATTAAACATTCTGCAAGATGCACTCGAATTTCAATGCATTATCGACAGGATAAAATTTCAAATTTCTACTTTCAACCAGGTTAAAAATTTTCCTAACAACAATTTTAAACTCTAACTCTTCATTATTTTAAATTACATTTAAAACATTTAAATTATTATGTTATAGAATATAAATAAATGCCAGTCAATAGCATGCAACAATGTTAATAATTTACCAACAATTTTCAACAGTTTACTATTTCGCTTGATATCAGATTTGGTCCCTTTTCTTTATCAATAAAAGCGCAAACCTGTTCCATATGTTATTTATATACTGAATTTATATATTTACAATCTCATGTAACGTCTCATTCATCAATTAATTTATACACATACACAAAAATATCGTATCTATGAAGAGCACGGCAAGTGTATTTACAAGAGGATTCGACATTTCACTTACACTATCTCACTTTTACAAAATATAATTGTGAGAGGACTTGAATTTGTTTCTCTCATACATACTAATACACGATGTCACAACAATTATGAAATTTTGTTCAAAAATGATATTATTTTTTTTTTTTTATGATGCATGTTTGTATAATATTATGTTCATTTTATCCTCTAAAGATGGTTCTATCTCTATAATTATATAAGAAAATTGTCGCGAAAATAAAATGCTAATATAACTTTTTCTTAAATATATGAAAAACTTATGGTAATAATAATAATATAAACTTTTTAATTTGTATTAATCAACAAGATAATCACTTAATGGTAAACTTTTTAAGAAAAAATTAATAATATTAATAGATAAAAAGTTATTGAATTTCATTTTGTTTTTTTCATATAAGCTGTACTATGTATATAGGATTTTTTTTCAAATTTAATTCACAGTAAATTTCATAAGTAGGTACCCATGTTGTCACGTCAAAGAATTCTTACTGCAGAATTCCGGTTCGTGCATGACTATTTCATTGACGCACGGGCTGGAAGAAGAAATGTTGAATATACAGCCTTCTATTAATAATTTCGTGCGGAACGTTGCACTCTGTCGATAATCACCTCTTCTCCAAAACAAATGCTTTCCTAGGACCCTATGCCAAGGCTTGAGAGCTGTGTTTAAGTCTTTGCATTGCTGGAAATACGAAATATATTATTAAAATCGTAAGTGCCAACTTTCAATTAGTTTTTGATTCTCGATAAATAACAATTGCACCGGTTCCCATTTTATCGGAACGTGACAACACTCCGACGAAGCAAGAACTGGTGTGAATGTTAATATCGTATATTTAAAATATTTTAATTATTTAAAACTCATTAGCAATCGTTAAAAGAAATTAAAACATCAAAAATCCTTTAAAAAATTTTACCTATGATATCTTGATTCTTAACATTTCACATAACATTCACTAGGCTAGGAAGATGTTTGTTCTTTTTTGGCAGAAAATGAAATAACAGATCTAATGCCTTTAACCGACGTCTAAAGAAATAAAATTTTAAATTAGATAATTTTAATAATACCTTTTACTATTTACAATATTAAACTCACCTTTTTCTTCATACCATTTAGATATTCTTTATACATTTCTGATCTCAAGTAACGTGGATAACTATCGTTCTTCATCAACTGATATAAATGTGCCTGTAATCGATATAAAACGTGACTAAATTTTATATTTCTTCTACATAATTTACGTATTAATATAATTTAATTATTTTTAACGTACTGCGGCTTCGTTAAAAGTCCATCTGTCGGGAGTTTCCATATTTCTCTTTGTGATTTCGTAACTTTTAGAATCAATATTTATCGGGCAGTTGGCATCGGAATCGAGATATTCGCTAAAAATGAGAATGCCGTTAAAAATAGGAATATTGCTAATAATACTAATGTTAACATTTAATGCATACAAAATTAAATTTTGTGATGTATTATTGCCTTTACAGAAAGAATTGAAATCATACAACTGCATAGTATTGAATGTAAAGTTCTGGAGATTTTTCTTCCAGAAACGGATGCTTATATATTTTTCAAATTATTTTAGCAGTTTGTTAGGTATACTGATTCTAACGTTCCATTGAAACTAAATATTTTTATATAGAAAAGGATTTCTATACAAAACCTGGAAAATTTTCATAAAATTGATTGATACCAGGGAAAAAAGGCCACAAAAAGAACTATCCCAAACATCCGACAGTCATGCTAAACATGCATCCCATTTTGTCCAATTGTATATTAACTGTGAAGTTATTTTATTAAAATAGTGTAATGCTTAGCTGTCATAACTGTAATAGTCAAAAAAGTACTGGTCCACAAACTGTTAATAGTAATGATTAAAAAATTTGAGGAAACATGATCTTTAGCACCTAAACATAAAAGTGTATGATATTATATGTACAGACTGAGATTACAGAAGTTGCAATATCCATTGTCTGCATTCCTGTTGTTAGTTGTAGTGGTGCATGTGTGTAGCAAAGCAGCTGAATATGTTATATAAAGGTCCTTTGTAAAGTTTTACTCATTCATTGTCGGCTGCAACAAGGAAATCCAGAAACAGACTGTCTTTTAAGCCTGAATTTTCTGTCAAGAATGGAAGTCAACTATATGTGATGTTGGGCAATACTTCTCATAAAATGTGTCATTTTTATATGAATGGAACTTTTTTAATTCTCCCTGCCCAAGAGCACTGAAAGGACCTTTTAGCTGTAGCCATTCCACAATGGGGACAACCATGTTATGAGAGATGAAACCAATTTATCTGGACACACTGTTCAAAAAAAAATTCTCCATCCAGATTTTTCTAGATTCCCACAGAGCAAAATGTGACTGTAAACATCCAAAACCATCAAATTTGGGTTTTAAATGTGTAGCATGTTCCATTTGGTAAGATTTCACTATAACTTTTACAGTAAGACTTTTTTTCTTTGAGGAAATCCACTCAATAGGAGAACTGACATACTCCATTACCACAAAAGGATATCACAATAAGGTTTGAAGTTTCATTATTGCTGCAGTTGCTGAGGAGTTATGTTGATATCCTTTCCTCATCCTGTAAGGAACCAAGTCTGAGCTTTATTTTTATTTTACTTTTATTTTGCTTTCATTATATTTTGTTTGGGGCTTATGTTTAGTTAA